AATGCACGGTCTTTTCACCGAAACCGCCGAAGGAGTTCTGACACCAGAATATTGCTTCGATTATTCAAGCAGAGCTCCGCGGCCGAAGGTCATGCCTGAATAAATCGCTCTTCGCCACGGTTCCCATGATTCCCCGGGGGTTGAAATAAAATTCCGTCGAGCTCCGCGTCTCGCGGGTCAATTCGCCGCCATTTGCAATTACAATATCGCGTAATCCGCCATTTGTCGAGTTGTCACGGGAGCCGGTCTCCTCGCCTAACGCGATAAATTATCCACGGAAAACGGGGAAAAGCGGCGCTCATCGAGACATTTTTGGTCCAGTTTCGCCCGAAGTTACGAACGTGCCAATTTTCTAAATTGAATTTTCTGAATTTTTTGGAATATTTCCGAATTGATTTTCACTCGTCGAACATTCAAGGATCGAGAACTCGTTCGCACATTTCGGACGCGACGAATTCGCGAAGTTATTCGACCGTTTCAGACATTTTAGAATCGATAAATAAATAAATATACAACGGGAATTTCAGTATAATATCGAAAAGATATTAAGAATAATCGGCAACGAAAGCGAAACAGTTCGCGTAAGAAATAATTCAAGCAACGAGCCAACTCGTGCCGGCCACATTCCAGGAACTCTAATCAACGTATCGATTATCGCGGCCGCCGATTGCTTCCACGGAATCACGAAACTGACTAAAATATTGATCCCGGTTGCTCGAAAAGTGGCCCGAAGGATTTCGATTTCGCCACGACGGCCGTCGCGGAATCGTCAAGGGCGCGTCTGCCTCGCGAGGGGGTTGAAATCCGCCGCCTTGGAAACAAACAGCGCCGATAGGAGAATAGGCGCGTGTTCGTCGAGGCGGGACGGACGAGTTGAATAACGCTGAATGACTGGCCGTGAAGGCCGAAGAGAAAAATTCGAGGCACGTCGAGAGTACCGGGGCGATTCGATAAATTTATGAGGTTCGAGGAGGGTAAATAACGAGAGGCGTGTAGACAGCGCAGCGCTGGAATCGCTCCGAGCTGCGTTCGTGATACGGTAAATTAATCGTTGCGAGCGCGATTCCTTTCGCTGGCTGCGGAGATGCCGGCTGGCTCGCTAATTTTTAACGCGTTTCATTTTCGCAGGCGTACCGCTCGCGTTCTTCGTAGCTTTTTTCGCTGTTTTTCGCAGTTCCATGGTCGCCGATCGGGTTATTTCATCGTCGGATAAATATTACCGCGCGGAGTTTATGAAACAGCGAATATAAATGGAGAAATCTCGGGCGAGCGCGGCGGCCGCCGGACGAGGAAACATAACGCCGAATGGATCGCCGCTTTTAGAAGTCGATTTTGACATTTATTACGGTGACGCTGGTCCTCGGGGACGATGTGTCCACCTATCCGTCGGAAATTGATAAATTCTTACCGGTAATTGCTGTTCTTAATCGTCGCACGTTCGGCTTCGTTCGCGTCGATATCGCCACGCGCGCGGTGTTCAATTAACGCGGAATTTGTCACCGAATCGACGCGCGGCTTCGCCTATTAATTTCCATCGTTCGCGAGGACATTTTCCCGTCCCCGTGAAATCGGGGGACGCTTTCTTTCCCCGTCGAACAGCCGACGGATGCTCGCCGAATTCGTCTCGGCGACCCTCGAACGACCGGCGCGACAAAAAATTGTAGGTCGAGCTATAAAAAATACCGAAGGCGACCTTGACAACTGCGAAGGGATGAAAAGGTTGACAAAAAATTTCGTACGATCGCCGTCGAGCTCTCCGTAAAACGTGTTGTTTTAGCTCAATTTAAATCGTTTCGAGTCGACAACATTTTCGAATGTTGTCCAGATGATTCTTGTGAACAATCATTGTAAATTTGACTGCGAAAGATGCTATAATATCCCTTAACCCTTTCGTAAGCACCGAGTACCAAGATTGCCAGCCAGTGTTAGAATCGTTGGTCCCATTAATCGCATCACATTTGCCCAATTATTATAAATTAGCCGTAACAACTAAACTTTTTGCCCGGCTCTGGTTTTGCGGAGTCACGAAGTTCCCGGTTCATTAGCGGCTGGTCGGAGCAGCGTGCCGCGTTTATTACAGGGTGGGAAGTGCTAATAATTACCGTGTACATTACCGTTCGGCGACAAAACGAGGGTCCTACGTCTTGATCGGGCAGAGATGTGGTTATTTAGGCAAATCGGGCGTCGCCGGAATATTAAGTTACGCCATTGCCGGCGGCGGCGGCGGCGGCACGCGTGATACGATCGCATTTTCTGGGCGATGTCTGGGCGTAAAATTGCGAAACTTCGCTCGTAAAATTAATGCCGCGAACGCGGCCATTGTGTCTGCTCGAGAGTTAGGATTCCCGGGGACGGCGCCGCGTGGACACAGCCGGCAACTTTGCCTTTTGAAATTTCCCGAGATCGTGTAATTAAACGTATTTCTTGCACTCGTTGCGACGGTGCCAGCTGCGCTTAACCCCTTTACCGGCGCGATATGAATTTTCAAAAAATTGGAACATTCGCTTGCCATCATTTTATCACACGGTAATACAGCTGCTGTTCGCTTTCCCGTTGTTCTTAATTTTAGTAGACATCAAACTCACGTAAATTAATTAGACATTTTCCAACAAAAACGTTGCACAAGATTCTTGAGATGATTTGGAGTAACTTTTTCCTTTACAAAAATTGTCTCCGATGCATCGTTCGCGATTTATCGACGAAAAACCCTGGCCAATGAGAGATCGCGTACGGCCGACGCCCCGCCCTCGCGACGGTCAGTGCGACACGGCGTTGGCTGTAGGCGATCTCTCATTGGCCAGTGTTTTTCGTTGATAACTCGCAAACGAAGCCGCGGATCGCATTTCTGCTAAGGAAAAAGTTACTTCGAATGACTTGAAGAAGCTCTCATTTCTCGCTCGACCATAATTTTGGAACGCTCTGTAGAACAACAGAGCGCGCGACGCCGCGCCGGATCCGTTTAAACGGTTCCGCATTAAGAAACGGTCCAATTTCGGAGCGGGCCGTGTATTTTTATTGTCGCCGTCGCGTTCCGTGACGAAAATATGAACGGTGTTCTTAATGAAATCGTTCCTCGACTCGGCCGATCGCGCCCGTTGTGTTATTTTTGCCAAAAGGTTGCACGAGCAGGCGATGCATCTGCTCGCGATATATCAAGACCGAAACAAAATACGTCTGCGAACCTCGTTGCCGTTTTTTGGCGGCAGGCCAGCGAATGCGCCCGTTCCATTTAATATCCAGCAATAATTATTGCGACACGCGAGGAATTAAATAATTCTCCGTTCTGGAACTCATTTTCCTGCACCTTTCGTTCCACCTTTATCTTCCCATTCGAAGACCATGGTTCGGTGTTTATCAGCGAATTTATTTATTTATCACCGCATTTTGTTTCCTCGCCGAATTTATTGTTAAGTCCATTTAGACTCGAGTTAATTTATAGTATCCTCATAATTTATCGCGCTCGTCTTTTCAACGATTTGGCACGTGCACAGTTCAGGACGAAAGTCAACATCTTCGGAAAGTCTCGCTTACGCCACTGTGATTTCGATCCACGCGGACGTTACTTGTCAATCTTTATCTTATAAAGTTGCAAAATTAAAATCAAAGAATTTACTTCGTGCTCGAGGTTTCATGTTGGCAAGATTTAAATTGCATTCATCGACGTTCCTCATCTCCTTCGATGCGAACGTTCGCCTAAATTTCAAGCATTCGCTGACATCATGAGTGCATAAAGGAATAGAGTCTAATGATTATAAATAATACAGCTTCAAGTGTTTTGTAATAAATTGACGTTTGAAAGATCTCAAACTCGTTAAAATCCCTAAGAATCGAAATGAAATAATAATAATAATAATAACAATAATAAGCAGACAAAAATAATATTTCTGCAGATTCTATAGCTTGTAATTAATGCAGTCAATTTTTCCTGTTGCACAAAAATCCGCAGTCCAGTCGGTCGCACTGGAAATCTGTGAATCGATCGTTTCTAATTCACTCGTAATTAACTTTTTTGCGGAACGACCGAATCAATATTTTTTTATCGTAATCATGATTGCCCGGACGCGGACCACCGTCCGCTCGGAAAATCGGAAGATCAGCGGAATCGAAGCGTGCCGATTAAAATCGCTATCGAAATTCGGCTAGCGCGTCCGCCGCATTTCGGAGCAAACAAGCAAATGTTTGCTTCGAAGGTTTACGGTTGTATGCCGTTTGAAACAATGACACGTAATCCTGTCAATTCCCGCGTTTTCCGGCCCGCGATTCAAGCTAGGAGAAGTAAAAACACGGGGAACCATTCAAAACCGTAGTTCTCACCAATACCTTTTCTGCGGGATGCTAGAATTTTTGGTGCTCCGACAACGCGAATTTGCAGGCCGCGTTCGAAACGATTCGAACAGAATTTTCTCCAATTTTTCAATTGCGAATTTCAGTCGTAAATAATTGGTAGAGGTGATCTGTACAAATTAAAAATGTAATAATATAGATACTCATACTTTCTGAATCGTTTCAGATTGAAATCGAAGGGGAACCAGTGCGAGATTCTTAATTATGTCGACAGTTATGCTAATGGAAATTAATTGGCCGCAGTCAATTGTCACGAATTATGAATATAGTAAATTCTCCCTAATTTTCCTTCAGCTTGTGAACAAAAATTTGGGCAGAGGAGATACGTTTTTATAATCGTTGACTACAATTAGAGAGAACTTACTGTATTATCTCAACAGTCATGCGAATAAAAACTATCAGATCAATAAAAAAGCGTTGAAAATACGTCAAGATCATACGAATATAACCTGCGATCAAAATAACAGATAAATCAAGGTTAAATAAAATCGCCAGGATCGGTGTTAAAATAGCTCTAATTACAAAGGGTCGGTAGAGTAAAGCATCGGGATAATTATGATAGGTGGCACAGCCGAATCAGAGCGATCGATTCGATACAATTAACCGAGGTCCCGTCGCCGGGACATCCAATTATCATTCGAGTCCGCAAGTAGCCATCAGGTCTCCTCTATTGCTCTGTTGGTCTCGGCGGAGAAGTGCTCCTCGTGGACCTCGACCAGGCTCTTGCCGGTGGTGTCCTTGACCACTATGGCGCAGAATAGGGTGGCCAGCCAGCACATAGCAGCTGAGAACCACATGGCTTTGGTAGCGCCGAGAGCGATGATCATTTCGTCGAAAGTCAGGGTGGATATCAGCGACACTAGCCAGCCGAGGCAGACGACGACAGCTGCGACCGGTAGCCTGATTTCGAACGGCATCGTGTCGCCTAACAGCGACCAGGAGATTGGTCCTAGCCCGATATTGAACGCGCCGAAGAAAAGGATGATCCAAGCAGGCGACATCCACGAGTAAATGTCCTCGTTTTCAGGGTCGCTGTCCCGCAGGGTGAAGAAGTATCCTGAAAACGAGCAGAGCATACAGCAACCCTTGGTTGACACCAGGTTCAAGGACATATGGTTCTTGATCATTTTTTTATCGGCTCGACTGCGAAATCAATTTAACCCCTTGATATACGATTTTCTTTTCCAATATTTCAATATTTTAATATTACAATATTTCAATATTTTCTTTTTCAATATTTCAATATTTTAATATTTCNGGCCGCGTTCGAAACGATTCGAACAGAATTTTCTCCAATTTTTCAATTGCGAATTTCAGTCGTAAATAATTGGTAGAGGTGATCTGTACAAATTAAAAATGTAATAATATAGATACTCATACTTTCTGAATCGTTTCAGATTGAAATCGAAGGGGAACCAGTGCGAGATTCTTAATTATGTCGACAGTTATGCTAATGGAAATTAATTGGCCGCAGTCAATTGTCACGAATTATGAATATAGTAAATTCTCCCTAATTTTCCTTCAGCTTGTGAACAAAAATTTGGGCAGAGGAGATACGTTTTTATAATCGTTGACTACAATTAGAGAGAACTTACTGTATTATCTCAACAGTCATGCGAATAAAAACTATCAGATCAATAAAAAAGCGTTGAAAATACGTCAAGATCATACGAATATAACCTGCGATCAAAATAACAGATAAATCAAGGTTAAATAAAATCGCCAGGATCGGTGTTAAAATAGCTCTAATTACAAAGGGTCGGTAGAGTAAAGCATCGGGATAATTATGATAGGTGGCACAGCCGAATCAGAGCGATCGATTCGATACAATTAACCGAGGTCCCGTCGCCGGGACATCCAATTATCATTCGAGTCCGCAAGTAGCCATCAGGTCTCCTCTATTGCTCTGTTGGTCTCGGCGGAGAAGTGCTCCTCGTGGACCTCGACCAGGCTCTTGCCGGTGGTGTCCTTGACCACTATGGCGCAGAATAGGGTGGCCAGCCAGCACATAGCAGCTGAGAACCACATGGCTTTGGTAGCGCCGAGAGCGATGATCATTTCGTCGAAAGTCAGGGTGGATATCAGCGACACTAGCCAGCCGAGGCAGACGACGACAGCTGCGACCGGTAGCCTGATTTCGAACGGCATCGTGTCGCCTAACAGCGACCAGGAGATTGGTCCTAGCCCGATATTGAACGCGCCGAAGAAAAGGATGATCCAAGCAGGCGACATCCACGAGTAAATGTCCTCGTTTTCAGGGTCGCTGTCCCGCAGGGTGAAGAAGTATCCTGAAAACGAGCAGAGCATACAGCAACCCTTGGTTGACACCAGGTTCAAGGACATATGGTTCTTGATCATTTTTTTATCGGCTCGACTGCGAAATCAATTTAACCCCTTGATATACGATTTTCTTTTCCAATATTTCAATATTTTAATATTACAATATTTCAATATTTTCTTTTTCAATATTTCAATATTTTAATATTTCAATGTTTCAATGTTTCAATGTTTCAATGTTTCAATATTTCAATATTTGAATAATTTTCAATATTTCAATAATTTTCAATATTCTTCTACGGACACCCGTTGTACAGAATTGGGCGTCGTTTATATAAATGATCATTCGAACGATTATTTAAGTAATCATTACTCGTTCTTTGGAGGTTAGAATAGAAGACAAAAATAATTGCATATTATTTTGATATAGATCCAAGTAAATTATTTGAAACAATAAAGTTTCTTTCTTATTTATAAACACAATATCAATTGTTGCTTATTAATTTCCATTTAATTAATTCAATTTCATTGAATTCGTTTAATTCATTGAACGCGACGCGTCGAGCACACATCGTAGCCCGTAAATAATGGCCTTCAATCGCTTCGACCGATATCATTGAGTTCGCGAAGATAATAATGATGAATGGAAATTAATATTTATCACGCGATAAACGAAGACGGAACAAGAATGAATGATTATTTGCTTTTCACCCGGAATCGAATAAAAGATAACGTTTGATTTGCGAAACTATTCGTTGCATAATATACAGCAGAGAGAAGCAAAAATTATTTATTACTCGTCTTCCCCTGATATCCAAGCAAAAAAATAACATTTCGTTTGGAAATAAAAGATAACAGGTGATTTATTCGCGCAATTATTTAAGTGGCTTTTTTAATCAAATAAAAGATACGATTACTCGAACTATACCTAATCGTTTTTTACAAGAAACGATCGAAGCAATCAGTTTTCTCGTAACGTTTATAAAGTCCAACGACGATTGCGCGAAATCGGGGCTATATCACGCCTGTCGAATAATTTATGGTCGAAATTATATGATTTATGATAGCTAGCATGCGAGGCAGAAGTTGACAGGTTGCAAGCTCAGCCTTGGGGCTGAAATTTATTTGTCATTTAAAGTTTTCAATAAGCGTTCGTATTACCGATTGATATATGGTCTATTTTGACGCCGTGATGCGTGCATATCGGTGTGTGCATGTGTGTGTGTTATGCAGCATGCGCCGGAAGTATTGCGGAAGAGCTCGTATTTTAAGCTGGATCGAAGCCAGATTCGAGTTACGTCTGGATTAGGAGATGTATCCAATAAACGAGTCGATCGTTTCCTTCGAAATTTTGTCGGTCCAAAATATACAAACACATCTACACCAGAGAGTTCCCGGCATTGGATCCGAACACGCTGTTTCACGACCTCTTTAACAAGCATTAGAAGCTAAAACATGTAGAACGTATTTTATCGCGAACGACGATTTGATCGAATAATATTAATGTCGACGAGAGTTTCATTTAAAATTGTTTTTTAAATTTTGGCAATCTGCCAGTCGATTCTTTTTCCTCGAAAAATCTATCGATTAAATCGCGAGTCTTTAAATATTAATAAGTAATAATAAGTAATATATTAATAAGTCATAATAAGTAATATATTAATAAGTAATAATAAGTAGTATATTAATAAGTAATAATAAGTAGTATATTAAAACTAAGTTAAATAAATTGGCGTTTAAATCAATTCAATAAAAAATGTATCACGTTTTCGAATATTTTTAATGACTCGAAAATAGCGTAGCAATACGTTTAAATTGTTCTAATTTCTTCGCAGTTTCGTAGTTTAATTTAATCGCGTTTGTCGCAAACGCACAAAGTCCACCAATGATAGAAAATTTGCAATTTCATTTTACAGTAATATATTCAAGCGGATGCTTCAATAACGACGATTTATCGAAGCGACTAAGTATTCAATTGGAGAAAATTACGAGCATATGAAATTTATAGAATTACGGCGGTGACAATTAATTGCGTCGGTGAATTCAATGAAATAACAGCTGACGTATTAGTGTAATTAATTCGAAGTGAATTGTAATTATAGTAAGCCATAGAAATCGCGACGCGAATTGATTGCTTTCGCGCGAATTCCAGTTGGAGATCGCGTTAAACTACGAGATAATAGGAATCCTTCGAAATATAACTTACGATTACAGCATTTGCATTCGTAATTGTCATTGGGAACGCTCGACGATGCTTTTCTTTCAAGATATCACTTCGTGATTCACTTATCTTCGTCGGACGTTGTTTCTATTCAATTGAATATAATAAATATATAATTAAACATTGAATATAAACCAACGCCGATTTCAAGGAAACGGATTAACAACAAATCGACGAGTGCTAACCGAAAGTTGCGACATGACCGCGAGATAAAGGCGACGATGAACACGTCGCCGACGAGCGTTCCCATTTTATATCCGGAGTATCGCGAAACAGCATCGATTGCGGGGAATCGTGCATCAACAGACGGAAAGCTGTTTACCTAACAGTATCAGGAACAATCCCATGAGCAACGTGGACACGGCGAGCAGGATTCGACGTCCAAGTATGTCGACGAGGAACGCGGCGACGAGAGACGCCAATATTTGAACGCCGCCGACGAGCAACGTCTGTTCGCTTCCGGTTAGCTCGCCGGAACCGATCGTGTTGAAAAGCGTCAGAGCGTAGAAGATCATCACGTTGACGCTGCTGAATTGATGGCTCAATACCACGCCGAGGCAGGCCGCTAACGATCGCAGGACTCGACGATTTTTCAACAACTTCGGCCACGGCTGAAATCAGTTCGCCGAGAATAAGAGCGCAGGAAAAGTCTAGAACTTAGTGTGCTTTTGCATTTTAAAAGTATGCTTTTGCATTTTAGAAGTATGGTTTTGCATCGTAATTATCGGCGGTGTAAATTCTCTCCGATTGTCCGTCAGCTTTGCAGACAAAAATGGACAATTCGGGGAGAGCGGATACGATTATGCGTATACGGGAATACGCTTCACTTATTGGATGAAAACACGAGTTGCACTTTTGAAAAAACAACATTCGCGCAACCCGCAGGGCATATTTGCGTCAAATCAGGAATATTCGAGTATAATATAGTTTAAAATAACGAAACAGATCGCAAATGTTAGCGTTTATCTCGCATAGCGTTTTCGATCGCGTCGCAGTTTTATTTAAATGATGCAAGCGCAATTGTGTATTTATTTGTCTCTGAGTGCGATTGAAATGGTTTCGAACGAATTTCGTTGGTATTATCGTTTCCGGCAGCCAGCGTTGTCCGTATTTTCGATTTCCGACGGAGTATTTCCAAATAACCAATATGCTTTCCAAATAACCGCGATACTTGAAATAATTGTGCGCCTCGACGCATTTGTGTCCGTCAAAAATGTTCGAGAGAGGATACGATAGAAATTTTTAATTGAATCTCGTTCTTCCTTTTACGATTTTCAATTATTATATTTTTTCCCTTCCTTATTAACGGTTTCTATTTCCAAAAATCGACGCGGCAAAATTGTTCCTTCGCTCCGAAACCCACGGTCTAAATATGAACGATACTGTACTCTAGTGAGAAATACTCGAAATGTTTGTGTTTAACCTATCCCCTCGTTAGAAATTCATTGTGCCACTACACAATACTCTCGTCTATCACTCGGTATCTTCCGCCCGAAGACAGGCAGCACAGTCACAGTGCTGTTTATTTTTGCAAATACCAGAACGCACCGGTTGCCTTGTTACGGCACCACCATCACTTTCGATCATGGTGGTCCAAATAGCAAGCAGCTATTTATAAGGTTATAAGTTAATTGCGTAAAACGAACGAACTTATTGCTGCGCTCGATGGTAACGAATATATTGCGAATTTTTCTATATTTCTATATTTCTGTGTTTCTATATTTCTATATTCCTATATTACTATATTACTATATTTCTATATTTCTAAAATATTTCTAAAACATTTCTAAAATATTTCTATAATATTTCTACATTATTTCTATATTATTTCTACATTATTTCTATATTATTTCTACATTATTTCTATATTTCTATATTATTTCCATATATCCATATTATTATCTCTATATTTCCATATTATTTCCATATTTCTATATTTCCCTCGGTCTTCTGATTCGCATTTAATTAAAACTGCAATACAAATGTCATTAATTTTTGATGACACGAACGCTATGTTTTAGCTCACAAATATAAGCATCCGTCATAAATGCAGAAAACTGCACCGTCCGCCGATAAAACCGAATAGAATTCATCGATCTCGCGTGTAGCATAATTTACCTTTTTCGGTCGAGTCATACGTATCAGCCGTTTCATCTCGTTGACTTCCTGCTGCGCATCGCAAGTGTCGCCTCGATACCATCTCAACGATTTCTCGGCATTGATCTCCTCGTTCCTCGACAAATAGTAGAACGGACTTTCGGGCAGCAATTTCGCGGCCGCGATCGAGAGACACGCGATCCCGCAAATTGAGCTGTACCTGCGCGAGAAAGAATTGATTTACAACGGTGTTCCCGCGAGATAGTCGAAACGAAACGATCGGGTGACCGAGGCACGAGAACAGAAACGTTATCAACGGTGTCGCGGCTTATGGTTTAACAAAAATCCGTCGAATCTGAGGCCGCACGAAAACTCGCGGACAATTTATGCGCTTCCGACATTCGCGCAATCTCGTTGTTGTTACCGCTTCGTCGCACGAACCTCGAATTCCCCTAACCGAGAAAATCGTTTTCTAAATTTCTGGTCGAAGTATGGTTGTTCCAGGTAATCGTAAGCTTCGCGATTATATTTTCTTTCATAATTGCAAATCGTTCGCGGTTAATATCGGCGCGAATTGACCTTCGGCAGGATTTAATGAAAGCAACCCGCGGCCGGATTTCATGAATTATTTAAAACAAAGCCGGGCGGACGGTAATCTGGTCTCGGCGAGGTTTAAGGACACGGTTCCAACCTCCGAGAGCGATACGAATCTGCCAGCTCCGCCGCGATTTCAATTATGGCTCTTACTTCCACACGGTCTCCTGTTCGTCGATCACGTGAGCCGCGACGAAGGCGTACATGATGCCGAGGTTGATGAAAACTTGGAAGAACGAGAGCAGACGACCGCGGATCTTTTTGTCGGCCACCTCGGCCACGTAGACGGGCGTTAGGACGCAGAACACGCCGGAAGAGACTCCGCAGATCACCCGGCCGATGATCAGGAGGACGACCTAGGGGTTGAAGAGGAGGCCGAATGAGAAACGGTGCTCGATTTAAGGCGCTATTCTGGTTTAGGTACGCGTTTTTAGGTTCTCTTTCTAACTATTTTCCTCTTGAACAAACCGTGGACCATTTTACATTGGAATTACATGCATTCGTTGGGATTACATGCATACACTGGAAGATAAAATTGAAATAAAATAGATAAAATACCCTTCAAAACTGCACTGAATGACTTGAATTCTTTTCTAGATAATAGAGAGACCGGTCTATCAAACAACGACTAAAATGCTTTATCTTCTTTCTAATCCTCTTCGCAATCACCCCAAATTATAATCGAACAATCCTCCCAGTTTCCAGAAAATCCCCAAATCGATTATCCAGTCTCAAAAGAACCGCTCGATGTGAAATCGCGCGCGGAACCCGCGAACGCGATCCAAAACCAGAACAAACCCTCGCGGCCGATGCCTCGCCCCAGCGAAACGGCTACAACTTCGTCAATTTTCGAAATTTATGGCCGCCGTTATCGACGCGCCGTTCTTCGAGAAAATGTCCGGAAGAGAAATCGTTTTTTTTTCTAAAACTTCCCGACCAGCGCGCCCCTCGAAGGGCGTGCACAGGGTCCCTTAGTCCGCGGTATCCTTCCGCGAAGAGTTACGAGAGAAGTTTCCCCGTGGAGGATCGTTCGATATCGAGGCGGACGGGCGATCGGTTCCATACTTGTTGTCCTGCGAGACAGATGAGGACCCATCCGGCTGCGAAGGCGGGCATGGTGGCGAGCATCGCGGAGATCCGGCTGTACCTCGCGACGATGAACGGCGCCAGGATCGCCCCGACGCTGACACCCGAGTTCAGAATGCCGCCGATCAGTCCAATCTCGTCGGAAGTCGCGTCGAGGTGGTTCCTGAGGACCAGGCTGGCGCTGGAGTTCCATCCGAGGGAGACGCCGAGCGCGAAACCGCCGAGGGACGCTGGAATTGCACGGAATTCACGAGGCGACACGGAATCATTTTACAGCAATGTCTCCCTGATCGACGCTCGGATTGTACACAAAAATGGACGATTTGGGAAGAGGAGATACGATAATTCGAGTCTCGCGACTCGTTTTTATAGTTACCAATTGTCAACGATTATCAAAACGAGGTGTAAAGTGTCCACTTTTGTGGACAATCTGAGCGTCAATTAGGGAGACATTATCTTGCGTCACGACGAGAGTAAAAAGCAGCGACCATTGACTATTAAAATTGCAATTTTAGTGAACACGAAAACATATTCTTGAGTTTCAAGATGTTTACTGATCAAATATGGGTTCCCTTTTCATATTTTCTACAAATTAGAATTAATATAACAATATCTTCGACTAGCTTGCTATAATCTAAAACTGATCTAAAGCAACGTCGATTGGTTCGTCTTTTGTTCTATTCTGCTGTTCTTGCATCCGCGTGTCCTTGAAGCGCATGTTTGCGAAAAATTATGCGACGCGAACTTCTAGGAGGATTTAGTAAGATTTAGGTTCGCTTGTAATTTACGGAAACGCGGCGCGGAGGTCGCGGTCTTTCGTTTCCGTGCGACACTTTTAAAAGACCCCGCTGCTGTTTCTGAAGAGTCTTTAGAATTAAAATGTCTTGGCGTTCGTTTCTAGGAGAATTTCTTTTCAACGAGCATTCGTGACATCTGCTCTGCCACGTCTATTAAAGCTAAACGATTTTTGAATTTATTTAGTTCGTGAAGTTCTTCTGAAGAAAAAAAAACACAACGAGATCGTATTAAACGCTGTTGCAGCTTGTAATTCATAATTTCCTGAGAAAGTGCAAGGTTAAATTTTAGTGTGAAAAACGAGGAGAATTTAGAGTAGGAGAAAAGCTATTTTTAATTCGAACTAGAGACGCATAGGCGTAGCTCTCATCGACTCGTCCAAGCGAACGTACAGCAAAGTGAGAAACGTGACAACGATTGCTAACAGAATCAAGTATATCAAAATGTATATAAACGCTAACTTGTAGATCATACTCGGCTCGAATATTTAAGATAATAATCTCGATCGTACGATGCAAGGGTGAAAGAAAACTGGCAGAAGGAGTTGGCTCACCTATGAAAGTCCCAAGGTATTGGTTCGATTTTCGTAGCTCGACGACGTTGTCGTTAATCGATCTCGAGGTCATTGTTTCCAGGATGCCTCTCGGTAATTTTGTTCGCACGATAACCGAGCATAAGTCGACCCGATGGAAACCGGTTAGAACTGAACCGAGCCGCGGTTCCGACGAAACGATATCGAGTTAGGAATATCGTAAAGTCAATCGAAGCCGTTATTTGTTTTGCAAAACAACGCGATGCGATTCGCAACGTGCCGTTTAATCGGGAGACACGCGTGCTCCGTGGAGAAACTTGTGCTGAAACTGCGACAAAAATGAAGAGAACAGTTTTGCAAGTGGAGAATTGTTATGTAGCTCAATTCCACGTTTTTGGAAGCTTTTCTTTTTAGTTCTGTTGCTTTAATGTTGCGACGCTTTCGTCGACAATACCAAATGCTGCGATTTCTCCCGGAAAGTCCAAATTTCGGGTTGCTGCGAATTTCTCTGTGCCAGCAGTCCTACGCCTATGTAATTTATTGCTATTTGGAGCTTCGAGGAATTAAGGTATTCAATATGCAATCGTTGAATCGTGGTATTTGGCCTTCGAATTGCCTTCGAATCGTGTCAAGTGGCCTCTGAATTTCCTTCGAATCATGGCGAAAAATTAGAAATCAAAAAGTTGAATCATCGTTTTAATTCTATCATTGCTATATATTTATTGCTATATAATCATTAACCTTGATATAATCTTCGCATAACCGTGATATAACCTGCGATTAACGAGCACTTGAAATTGAGTAGCAAGGACGAAATATTTGCGTTACGTTGCGACAGATTTTTGCCGAATTTTTCGAAGGAACCGAATACCGTGCCCCGCGTCCTGCCAGGATCAATCGAGCTCCGTTCGAACGGAGCTGTTAAATGAAACGTTGAATTTTCCGGGCGACTAGTTCGGGAACTAGCGTGGGCTAATTGTGTCGGAAGGCTCGCGGCAGACGGCATTGGTTTCTTCGTCTGCATCGGTTCACCCTTGTCATAGAAACTACCAAGTCGCCAAGTAATTGGATTACCGACTATGCCACTCGCCGGCGTTTCGATGCACTGCCTATAGTTTACAAGCAGTTAAGCCGACCGCACGACACTGAACGCAAACCCTCGATTATACTCCATTTATCAACGGTACGCTCTTCGCGAGAGAACCCGCCCGATCCCGTGTACAGGATCTAGGTTCTGTCTCGATTGCCGGGCCGAATGCAGAAGGATTACGCGGGACAATAGTATATCCAATTATGTCAGCAGAACAAGACCTTCTACCTGGACGTGTCAGTTGTAATTGCGATACGTCGGACGACGATCGGATTTCTTGGCATCCTTGCCGCAGTTTGTTGCGTTTATGCTTGGACATCGGTGTGTCGCAAAGTGTGTCTTATACTGTGCATCCTGGCGATTTGAGTCGTTGACCCTTCGGAGGGTATCGTTGCAGCGGCGTTGCGCTGTCAGAGGAGTCTCTTCTTGGCGGATGTTCCATTGTTTCATAATAAACTGCGCGAATTTATGCATTTATGCATTTTGAAAATGTGAGACATTTTCTTAGACTGTTGAGAATTGCAATTGTAATTGATTTTTTTAAACTGTCGAGAACTGCAAATTATTGTTAAACTCGTCTTGAATTTTAAACAAACTTCGATAAAGCTTTACACGTCCTTACTCGATATTTAATATTCTAAATGCATTAACGAACGAAATCGATTAATTTAAAAATAATTATAGAAATAAGAAACATTCTATTATAATAATAATAAATCGTGAAAATCGTGATTTCAAAGCAAACAAAATTTAACGAAATCCTTCTCCTTTCGTCCATAATTTGATAAAGATTTCGACGGTCTATCGATCGAAGGCGGCATTTTCATTTCGACGATGTTAATTTCAATCAGATATCGACGGGAACGGTGATTGCACGTTTGGAATATCGATCCGCTCGAAACTACCGTGCATATTCGAAAAGGGAGATTTTAATACAAGATGCATCGCGGAGAGATGCGCGCCCCCCTTTCCCCTCGGTCTCGTCTTGCCCCAGTCTTCGATCCATCAAATATAGCCGCGTCGACGCGGCCAATTTTCGCATCAATGCCACTTCAAGATTCGCGATGCAAGAAGGCAATCCTGTGCCGGATGGATGTCAGACAATGTCCCCCGTGCATCGCGGTGCTGTAAAATCAAGCGGCGCCTGCACGGAAATAACTTTTTAAATACGCTCTGCGCCCCCATCGGCACCCTTGTCTCTCGCGCAACGTTCTTCCGATCGAGGCTCCTTGCGCGAATATTTTCCCACTTTTTATGTGCCTCGAAACCCGCGAGAATTCTCGGAAACGTGTACGGTGCACCGACTCGTTTATACGGGCTTATATTATTACATATTTATTATAATATAATATAATATAAGATAGTATAATATAATATAATATAATATAATATAATATAATATAATATAATATAGTATAATATAATATAATATGATATAATGTGATGTAATATAATATTTATTATATATATTGTTTTATATATTTATCGTCGAAGGACATTCCGAAAAATTAACGTTTGGGAGAAGTTACATTGCCGCAGATCTCGGGGGAAGTTCAGAAGGGAGTACTAACTGTTGAACAAACAGTCGAACAAATGTTTCACGGTCGTTTAAGTTTCGAGGGTCGTCCGCGTAAAATTCGAGGCACGAAGACCACCCAGGGCCGAGCATAAAGTTGATAATTTTGCAGTCAGACGGCGAACGAGATCGATAAATTAATATTCACCACGACCGTACCGAAATTCCAGGAACCCCGAGCAAGTCGAATTTATGGTTAATGCATGCGTTTAGGCACTTTATTGGCGTTCCATGGCATCCCCCCGCGTACCCATGATCGTTCCGGCTAACATATTATCGTTACAGGGTGCCGTCGCGTGCCTCCATTTTGATGGGACATGAAATCATTTTATACGCTCGGGGTGGTGCTATTTCGAAGAACCCCTGGAAAGAGCAACAACAACATTTTCGAACAATTTTTACTACACCGCCGCTCTCGGCCTCGATTTACGAGATAATTGCAACGAACTATCGGTGCTGATGCAATCGAAACCCGCGAATTTGACGAATAACGCGGGGAATTAAAGACACGCGAAACCAGACTTTACCGAACTATATAATAATTGTTTTTACAGAATTGTCGCGAATTCCATGGCGCAAACGTTGGTGTTTTCTACGTTCTCGAATAATCCTCCTATGGCCGAACGAAATTTCCGCAGAGACAAACGTTCCACGGCGCTATCTCTGCCAGTATGTTACTCGTCGCGTGACAAATCTGATTACGCCGCTTTTCTCAAAAGTTACACGCGAAAGCACCCTCGACACCTCAACCGTGACGAACGCGCGATACCGTCGGGAGTACAAATTTCCAAAATGTAAGCGAGTTATATCGACACGCGTATTTACCGATAAACGTAAGTTCGGCAGAAAATTCTCGTTGCTATCGTAGCGGACGCGAAACTGCATTAAATTAAATGAATTCAATTAAATTTTAACTGAATGTTGAAGTGTCGCCAATCAGTGCGACACGCTGCAAGCCTGCTAAATCTGTAAATTAGCGATGTGTCGACTTATTTAGTATATAAATAACGTATAATTAAAATAATAACAATAATAATAATAATATACATGTAATAAATTATATAAATATATAATAATGTATAATAGAATGATATAATGTAATAGTACAATAATATAATATAATAATAAATATATCAAATATGTAATCTATAAATAATATATTATATAAGACATAATATATAATATAATTAAAACAAATATAGTTATAATATAATATCGACGAATCTCGAACAACAAAACGATATTTCCTTTCACGCATTCGATGAAGATGAAACGAAACAGAGTTGAACAATGCTTCGTACAACAAAGACAATCGATCTCATCGTTTAAAACGGCGGATGATCAATAGCGACTCCATCGAAAAAGTATTACGATGCGCCCCGCATCGTTGGAAAACGTGGTATCAGCAAGAAACGGTATAATTAGCAGCGGATCGTGCAATCGACGGGTTTATAATCAGGCTGGAACGCGGAAAACGTAACTGGGACAACAAATAAACGGTCGGAGTGCGCGGAGCGGTTGTTTCGCGGTATGTCCACCGTGTAGCATCCCAGACGAGTACATGTCGATGACAGCTGTCCGTCCCAAACGCATCGACAAAACGGCGGATAAGAAATTCGATTGGCAGATACTCGCTCGCATCGTCGACGAAATTTGTCTCGCTTGTCTCGAAATTTCGTCTTTCTATGCGAACGGCGACTTTCCGATCGGTCGGACGTTTCTGAAAATCCGAATGAATCGTGTCAGAAACTAGATACAGTTGTCTCCCTTACTGACGCTCAGATCGTCCACTAAAATGGACAATTTGGGAAGAGGAGATACGATTTATTCGAGCCTTGCGGCTCGTTTTTATAATTATGGACAATTTGTAACTATAAAAATAAACCGCGAGGCTCGAATAATAATCGTATCTACTCTTCCCAAATTGTCCATTTTTGTGCGACAATCTGAGCGTCAATTAGAGAGACATTACTGTATTCGTATAACAATATCGACCGATCGACGTTTCGTGCACAAACGGTCGAGCAGTCTATTTAAATGCTTCCCAGCTCGATTCCCAGGACACGAATCTAAGGGACGACGCGTCCATTATCGAACTAGGATATCGAAAAATCACCGGAAACCCTCGAAAGGACGACACGTCGGTGACATCGTTTTCTCTGCGCTCGTGTCGCTGATCAAAGTCGCTTATTACTCCCGCGTAAATTGCATAATGGCGAGGGCTCTTTTCGCCTTGCAACGTTCGCTAATCCAATATGTCGCCGGAAGTCGACGGGGGCCCGAAAAATGCGTTCTTCGACTCTTTGATAGGGGAAACGAAACCAGATCGCGATGATCAATACCGTCCGCGAGAGAGAACCAAAATGATTTTTATTCTGGCTTCCAAGGGATCCGGCGAGCCTCCGATTTCAATTACGACGTGAAATCAAACGGGATATTAATTGCCGTCTAATATTTCTTCTTCCAAGAATTAATTAAAATTTCAGCCGCGTCATCGGGAAATCGAGAACA